TTGAAACAAAGAAACATTAACAAAACAGGACCGAACATGGGAGACAAGACAACAGTTACATGACATTACAAAAGGATATAGAGTGTTTAATGAGGTTGTAGTGTGTGAAGTGTGGGTATTTCCAACTTATGGAGTTTATGAAATGCAAGGAAGGGAAAAGGAGGGGAAGTGAATAAATAAATAAATATCATTAGTGTCGCTTCACTGCTCTGTGTCTGATGATGAGGAAGTGGGCGGGGCACAGAGGGTGATGACATTTGTGACGTCAGATGCGGAGGAGGAGGTGGGGCCTAGCAATGACATCACAGCATTGTTGCTGAGGTATCGCCATGGTTACCAGAGAGCTGGCATGTTACCACACACGGTTTTTATTGGTTAGTCTGATCATGTGATTAAAGTGGGCATGGTCTCTCTCAGCATTTCTACTGGCCTATGCAGTGTTCAGCGGGCACTGTTCCCAGGTGGGGGGCCAGGGGGAGGAGGACGAGCAGCCAGGGGGTGTAGCTAAACCACCTGCAGAGGGAGGGGCGGGGCTTTACCTGGGAGAGCTCAGGGTGATGATGAGGATGCTGTTGCAGGATGAAGATATCCACAACATGGTCAGGTAGGAGGCCAGGACACCTGGGGCACTGGACATGGTGACAACACCGGACTTATCCTGATTAGTGTGTATGGATCAATCGACACCAAGTACCACTCCACAGTACATGGGTACTTGAGTATTTCCATGCTGAGTTACTTTAAAGTTTTACTCTACTACATCTCAGAGGGAAATCTAGTACTTTATACTACACTACATTTATCTAACAGCCACAATTACTTTACAAATTAAGACGGTACCTTAAACACATAAGGTTATAAAATGCAATAGGAAACTTCTTATAGAGGCCCGAGACATTCACGGGATTCAATATTCCACAGAAACCAAAGACCAGAAAACAGATCAGTGAATCACAACTGTGTTTCTTCTGTCGTCTCCATGAGTTATGTGATGACCCGTCACATTTATCTGGTGACCCTCTGGAGGGGCCCGACCCCTAGGTTGGAAAGCCATGGATTAAACTAGATAATTATACATGGTGTAGTTAACAGCTCCAACAGTAACATGCTGCTGCAGCTCTGATCACTGATCAATAATCTGATCATGTCAGAGAGAATCTGGTGTCAATCACAAAACAAATGAGTACTTGTACTTTTTAAAGTTTTGAATGTTGGAGATTTAATTATAACAGAATGTTTTTATATAGTTACATCTGTTGAAGTAAAAGATCTGAACACTACCACTGTTGTTTACTGAATGATTAATCCAAATCAATATTTAAAAGATCAATCGAGACTTTCATTACTTATTAACACCATGTGTCACAACCTCTTTGTTTCTGTGGATCACTGATGCTAAAACAGAATTTGTACCATAAATCAGACTTTTTCTGTTGTTTTTAAACATGGTCCAGTGAAGCACTGTTGTCCTGAAGTTTCCTCAGAGTGTTTAAAACATGCAAACTGAGATCAGCTCCACTGATGTTAGTTTTATCTCTGCGAGTCAGTGCTAACCTTGACAAACACAGTGGGTTTCTCTGGTGTCAGAGGGAGCCTTTCTCTTTGTCCCCAGTCGAGTCAGCAGAGCAAACCATCCTCCAGGATCCGCAGAGGGAACGTCTCTGGCCTCTGAGATCCTACGTCGCTTCACACAGCTGCAGATGGACCACACCTGGACCGAGTCCCTATGCGCCACGCTGCAGTTCCCCGACAGGTAGGAGGCTGGAAAGTCAGAACTCAGGCCAAACTTTAAACACCAGTGTCGTGGCTAGAGTGTGACACCCACTAAATTAATTCAGACAAATCATCCCAATTTAAGTAATCATTTAATATTACAATTATTCTGAACAGAGTAGTAGTTAAACAGGTAATCTGGCAGTTAGGGAACAGAGAACAGAATCACTCCTCCTGCAGTGGAATAGATAAAGTATTAAATAAGAAGATTGTCAGAGCACCAGTCAGTCCAGAGTCAGTCAGTCATTCCGTCAGCCCACGGTCTGTCGGAGTTCATTCTCCACCCGGCTGAGTCCACAAGCACACTTTCATGGTAGCATTCTCATCCTCTCTTCTTCTCCACACCTTTCTGCCTCACTGTTTTATCCACAGCTTTTCTTAGGCTGTTACATCAGTAAAATAAACAAACAGTGAAATAAACAAACACTGACAAGTAGATCATCAGATTATGACAAGGAAACACTTGAGGCATCATATCAACAGGAACACAAAGACATACTCACTCCACATGACACGTGACAGGATAAAGGGGAGCTGACATTTCAAAACTTTACATCAGTGTTTCAGTTTGACAGCAGGGTCCACTCAGTCAGTAGTACACAGTTTATTGTGAGAAAGACTGGGAGAGCATTTATATGGAAGCTCTGTATACCACCCTCCTCTTATCAGAGACATGTTTGTCTGTTTGTTTGTCTGCAGGTCTCAGAGGAGCTCCCTGTGGCTGGTGGACTCAGCTGGACTGGTCGCAGAGCAGATTCCTCTCAACCCGTCTGACTTCTGTCCTTACAGCGCCGCAGGAAGTACCACGGTGAGACAGAGAGACAGGATGTGTTCGTCACCATGGAAACCACAACCCAGTTACATCTATCTGTCTCCCTGCAGGGGGGTGTGGTCTACGCCGTCCTGAGGATTTTAATTGGCTGAAGAGTGCAGGCATTTCCCTCTTTCAATCACACTCAGTTCCCACCTATCCAGTCCTCCGGCCTGCCCCTCATCCCAGCCCTGCCTATCAGCGCCACTGTGGCCGCCAAGCTGCTCAGGTGAGCCCTGCCCCTCAGTTACCTGCTCAGGTGTCACTGTGACCTCACTGTGTTTGTGTGTCTCAGTCAGCTGTCAGGTCCGTCCTGTCCTCCATTATGGCGAGGTCGGCTGCTGTATGTACGCTGTGTTGTCAGTCCAGAATTCAGCTCCGGACGCAGAGTCAAGATGTCTGTCCACAACGTGATGACGCCAGTGCTGTTCAACAACATCTTCTCGTCTCTGGAAGGCCGGGTTGAGCCAGGTAGACTCTGAGCCCCGACAGACACAGGTGACAGGTGAGTATACTGTATCTCTGTTGTAATGGTCTGCCGCTGTACCTCTTTGTCAGACCAGTACATCATACTGGGAGCTCAGAGGGACTTGCTGAGTCCAGGAGCTGTGAAGTCTGGAGTTGGAACAGCGATCCTCCTGGAGCTGGCCCGAACTTTCTCCGCTATGGTGAAGAACGGTAAGACTCACCTGGAGACAGGTAAGCTCACTAAGGTACATGCACTTAAGGGCACCACACACCAGCAGTGACCTGAGGCACTTCAGGATATGCTACTGTCCTATTTTCATGCCATTGACGCACATCAAATGCATAAAATACTGAAGCACTCACGCATTTCAGTATTCCTGCACTGAACTCACACCGCTCCCACGATGTGTTTACAGAAGTCATGGGACGCATGTCACATGATGAGCTGTGATGGCGTCTGTGCACGTGCCCTTTAGACTGTGTCACTGGTCAGTCAGGTATTGTTAGGTGGTCGCTGGTTGCTTGGATTTTGTTGTGACTGTTGTGGTGTCGATAAATGGTTGCTCGGGCATTCTGGTTGGTTGCTAAGGTGTCACCAGACTGTTGCTAAATGACTAATGATAGGGTGTTAGCAGGTGATTAGCAGGTGGTTGCAAACTAATTCTACACCATGTTGCTTCTAAGGTGTTGCTATGTGGTTGCTGGGTTTTGTCCCCTGTCAACACCCCATATGCTGTTGCAGCAGTTGCTATGGTGTACTACGTGTTTACCGCATTTCCAAAGTAATAGTTTGGAAGCTAGAAGAAGCAACAGGGTCATGCGACTTACAATAGTAACCAGAATTTCATCACGTGAATATACACCAGATGGTTTCACCTGAGAAGAAGTAGTTACTGTGGGTGATTGTAGCTCCTCTGGTTCCCAGATGTTTACTATGGAAAAGGTCAGTGGTGAAACATCTCAGCCCGAGTGTCTCTGCTCCGCCTGATCTCCACCTGTTTGGCTCCTAAGGGATCCAGCAGATTTCCCTCCACATCAGACAGTAACAAGGACCATGCATTGTTCACTCTAAAGGAACTTATTTTTCAGGGTTCAGTCTCAGACGAAGTTTGCTGTTTGTCAGTTGGGATGCTGGAGAGTTTGGGAACGTTGGAGCCACTGAGTGGCTGGAGGTTCGTCCAATCAGAGAATAGGAACGCGTTACACGCCACAGAAAAACTTGACAAAGTATTGCATCATATTATAATTCTCATGCCCTGTCTTCACTGACCTCTGTGCTCCAGGGATACCTGTCCATGCTGCACCTGAAGGCTGTAGCCTATTTCAGTCTCGACCAGGCTGTCATGGGTAACACAGAGCTCTCATCCAATCAGGAGACGTCTTTAATCTGCCAGCCAATCAGGGTCTGAGAGAGATATGTGTGTGTGTGTGTGTGTGTGTGTGTGTGTGTGTGTGTGTGTGTGTGTGTGTGTGTGTGTGTTAGAGACAAGCGGGGGTGTG